GATAATGCCCTTATTTGGGTTGTGACTATCAGGAAAACCAAAATAGGTCTCCCATATATGTACTCTATTGGATGCTGATTTTAGGTCTCTGGCTACCTATTTTAGATTCGGGTGTTCATATAGATTCCTTGGAGACCGTCTTAGCAACACAAAGCGGCATCAGTTCCTCTGAAGTGTAGTCGACTCTAGTGCACGGTACATTTATCACTGGCAGGCTTACGGACTCCAGGTGACAAAGGCACAGATGAATGACAGTGACAAAGGCACAGGTGAATCAGCTCCTGGACCCCAGTCCGGCAACAGTAACTGAGGACACCGGTAATTCATCTGCTGTAGCGCCGAGTGCAATTCATCTGTACCAGTGCTGTAACATACAGTAGGGTGTTGTCCTGTAACCTGTATTGACCATCTTGAACCAAACGGATCACACGGTAGCAGCGACAGTCAGATACGTACCCGAAGCCCACGTTGACCGTTGTAAGACGCCTTTTAGGATGTCGACGACTCATGGATTTGTCACGAGTGACGAGCAAGGCGTTACGCTACAGCCTGCAGAGCACCAACGGATCCTGAAAGCTAAGCGTCGCAGAAAGCTTCGCATCACACAACACCAACCAATAACCGCAGGCTACAACAAATCTTTGTGGTGACGCATTAGGCGCCGCGTTAGTGCATATACGACTCGCAGTTAACTGGGAGATTAGGTAACAGAAAGAAGATATCCACGAGAACGTTGTTCCAGGCTTTGGTCTTCGTACTTTCGTCAGCTTCTCAGACTTTTGACTGAGGCTTGAGATTTGCTCGAAACAAAAGAGCAAATAACAAGAAGAAAGAAAGAAAGGGGGGAAAAAAGGTGTGCTAGTGAAAAAGGCAACTAACGGCGCCGTCCTAAGAACATGACCTTTTCAGAGTCCTAGATTGCGATTCATCTACAGCAAAATGAATTCCAGGCCAAGGGGTGAAGGGGATACACGTGCTGACTCCAGCGTGCTGACTAAAGCCGCCAGCGCTTTACACGGCGGACGAGGCTGATCCTGGCACGGATGAGAAGCCCAACAACGGCAAGGTGACTTTTCAGGGACGAACACCGACCTCTTTTCCGAAACCTTCCAACCCGTGACTCATCGATGATGGATGACAGTATGACAATTACTCTTTTGGTAAGATTCTCCGTTGCCGTAGAAGAAAAGCACACACCAGTTTTGAGCAGAGGGAAGGGGTTGGGGCCCAATAAAGTCATCACCAATGGAGGCTAACACTCTTAGTTGTTCTAGTATAGATAAAATGATCCATATAGATTAGAAAATGTTAAGACTACTATTCACACAATGCAAATTATCATTACTGGTGGCTTGTAAAGAAACTTTTTTTTTTCATCATGCCTCACCTTTATTTTTTCTCCCTCTTCTTTTTTAACATGGACCACCTTCTCTTTCCTCAAACATATGTAGCTTCTGCAAGCCACTATAATAAATTTAGAGCACATACTTTATTTATCCGATCATATATGACACTTGAGGCTACTGCTCAAAAAGCAGCGCTAGGGAAGCCCTAAGGCCTTTGCTAGAGCCTAGAATAAGCAGGCTTTAAAAACGTAAACATTTATTCCTTCTCCCATGAATAAAGACAATTTTGTGTGCTGTCGGCCTTGTGTCTGCACATAAAGGGACCAGTCTAGAGGTCATTTTAAGTTGGGTGAACGCTGAAAAAAATATAGTAACATGATATTCTATTTCGCTGTACTGTTTTGTAATCATGCTTGTGTGGTGACCATACTTGTGTTGTGTGTGCGTTTCAACAAAATCACGGTTTGTCAAAGGAACTCCAATCGAGCTCTTACTTGAGCCTTCATCTTATTTTGAGAGTTCAAACACATCAAAAACCTCTCCAACCGAACCCTCTATTCGAGCCCCGATGGATGAGGGACTCTCATTTCTCTCTCCTAAACCTCCAGATGTAGGAGTCCCTCATCTTCTCCCTCATCCTGCTTTCTCTCTTCCATAAAGCTGACAAGTGGGACCAATAAACAGGGTCCATGACAATACAGTATAAAAGTAGGAAAAATTTAGGAGATCGGTTGGAGTATCGTGAGGAGTAGGGGATGAAATATGGATGAGGGACTCTCATTTGCAGGAATAGAGGGCAAAATTTGAGGGATTGGTTGGAGTTGCTCTCATGTGGGTCCGTGTATTGTGAGGGATTCTCTAAACCGAAAAAGCGTAGTCACGATTAGAAAAGGGAAAAAACAAACAAGCACACACAAAGAGAGTTTTTTTTCGACAAAGGTAGAGTTACAAGGTACCAGAGGATCTAGAAAATACCCTTGCGAATGCTTATGTCAGCAAATTAATTAAGAAAGGCAAGGCGTAAGCAAAACTAACCAAAATGCTCTCAATACATAAGTCCCGTAAACCCCACTCTCATAGGGCGTGGATGTCAAATAGAGCTAAAAAATACTGACCTTTTCTATCTCTCTCTCAGAGTCTCAGTACTACTAGAGAAGTTATTTAACTAAATATTTTATACAACGGTAAGCTTTATCCATAGAGCTGTTCGCGAAACCGAAAAATAAAAATTATTTTACCAGTTCTACAAAATGAAACCTTAAATTAGCGAGCAATAACTAACTAACTTAACAACTAAGGCCATGTTGGATACAAAGTATTTTTGAAGTTTTAGAAAAATATTATGGTTTTGTAAAATACTTTGGATCTAGAGCGCCACGAAGTGTTTGGATGCAATAAACTTTATAGTTTTGAATATCATGGTATTGCTGAAACTGTAGTCTCTTTGGAGTTTTAAAAACTCCACTCTAGACTTTTTTTTTCTAAATCACGGTTTTGCACATCAATAATTTTAAAACTACAGTTTTTTGATACTATGGTTTCTTAATACTACACCATCTAATCGAGGCCTAAATAATGCTCAGCCACGGGCGTGCGTCCTGTCGGACATGGCTCCCAGTCCTGCCTCCCTCCTGCGCTCTCAGCATACCAGTCTGAAAAAAGAAAAATCCCCCACTGAGGCTGTGGTGTCCTCCTCAACTGCTCTAAGCCCCTCACCGCACCAAACCTCCGGCCAACCCCGCCGCGGCAAGGTCCTGCAACAGGATTCTCTCTCTTCCCCGCTCCCTCCCCAGCATGAAGCGCCTGCTCCGGCGTCTCCGCTGCGTGGCCGGGCCTTGCTCCTTCTCGCGAGGCACCTGACCCCTTCCCTTGCTGCTCCGCGCGCCCACGCCGCGCCCCCATCCACCTCGCCCATCGCGGAAGGGGAGGCTAACGCCTGCGCCTATGCCCCCATCCACCTCAAATTGTCGGTAGGAAGGAGAGGCCTGTGCCACCGCATTTCCCCACAAGGTAGGCCGTGGGCGCCGGCAATGCTGTGTTTTAAGTATTTTAGAGGCGTTTTCAGACATGTTGCCAGTCTATGTTTCAAGTGTTTCAGTTATTTCAAATGTATGTTTTGATTGTTTCATACGGATGTTGCAAAAGTAGATCGGGATGCTGCACATGTTGTAATGGCTATACACGTATGTTTTAAGTATATGTTCTAAATATTTTATATGTTCCAGATGAAGGTTCCAAGTGTTTTATCTGAATGTTGTAAAAGTAGATATGAATGTTGCATATATATGCATGATACAAGCATATGTTTCAAGTGTTTTCAAGTGTTTCATACGTATGTTTGCAAGTGTTTCATATGCTGTTGCATATGTTTGCGATGGTTGTTAAATGTTTTTTTTAGACATTTTCGCAAGTGTTTCAAACGCTTGTTTTAAGCATTTCATCTATCTTATTTTGTATGTTGCAACAGTTGCATTTAGATATTTTAAAAATAGATCGAAGTGTTGTACATGAGATGCGCGTGGGAAACGGTTGACGACACAGACGACGTCTGAGACAGCATGGGCCCAATGCTGTGCGCTCGCTTGCAAGCTCAACATGCCAGACACTCGCTCGCTCCCTATGCGGGCAGCGTCCCAACGCTAGCGAGTCCTATACTCCTGTAACTAATTTACCGACTCGGCCTGAATTAGCTTAGGTGAAGAAAATGCCTTAGTTTTTTTTTACAACAAAAAATGCCTTAAAGTCGCGCAAAGTAACGGTTTTGGATCCACAAACACAAAGTCTAGAACGCCTGGGATTTCCTTTTTTTTTTTGAACATAGACTTTTCCACCCTGCAAACCAAAAGGCCTCGAAATCCTTGGTGTTCCCGTAAAGCGGCGAGCAGCCGGCACGTGTCCGCGGTGGACGGCTGCACTCTACCGGGTCGGATCCCATGCTGTCTGGTGCCTGCTGCTGCAGCTCTCCCTCTCGCGCCAGTGCACCGCCACCATCTCCCTCCCTCACCTTGGAATCTTGGATCCTTGTGCACGAGTCGAGCGACGAGCCGTTCCACTTCCATCCATCCCACCCCGCCTCTGCCCCCACCTCCTCCTCCCATGGTGGTGGCATTGTGACCGCGCCAGGTCCCCCGCTGCGCTCCTGACTCCTCGTGTAAGCCTGTCGCCGCGCCCGCACGCAGCAGCAGCAACCCGCGCCCCGCGCCCCGCGCCACGCCGTGCCGTGCCGTGCCGTGCCGTGCGGGCTTGTCGATCCTTCTCAGGCTTTGCGGGTGGTTGGAAAGGCAGAGAGGAGGAGGAGGAAGGCTGCCGCTGCCGCTAGCCCGTAGCGCGAGCGCGCTAGCCGCTAGGTGGTTTTGGCTCACGGGTTCCAGGCCGCCCGCGGCGCGGTGCTCGCCTTTTTGGCTCACACGGAAAGTGCCCGTGCCTGTGCCGCCTGCCCGCCGCCCCGCGCGGCCTGGCCGTAACATCCGAACCGCCCCCAATGGCGACACCACGGGCTCCTCACCCTCCTCCGCATTAGTAGCAGCGGCCGCAGCGCAGCGCTCCTCCACACCCCCCCGCTCGTGGACCTCTCCTCAGTCCTCCCCCGCGCGTGCGCGCTCTGCTTCCCTTGCCGCCGTGCGCGCGCGCTGCTTGCTGCTCGGCTGGCCGTCGATGAGCATGGGGCGCTTCGTCAACTCCATGGATCCGAGGTCGGGGCTGGAGGTGATCAGGGACTGGAACGGCGTCGCCCAGGTCGTGCTCCGCTCGCCCAAGGGAGCCTCCGCGCGGGTAAGGACTGCGAGTCTGCGACTCCACCCTCTCTTGTTGCCCGATCGACCGGCTCCGCATTGCTTGGTTGGTCGTGGTTTTGACGGGGTTTCGCCGTCGCTGCCTGGATTGCCTGCTTTGCTTTGCAGGTGAGCTTGCACGGCGGCCAGGTCGTCTCCTGGAGGAACGACCGCGGTGAGGAGCTCCTCTTCACCAGCAGCAAGGTAGAATTTTCTTCTAATTATTTTCCACACTTACTCTTACCGTCCAGTAATCTGTAATGCTTACAGGTTCTCAGATTATGTAAAGGTTCAGCCATGCCGTTTGACTTTCTTGTGGCTGAGTGTTCTTCTAGCATTTCTGTGAGAAGACATGTGTTCAACTGGGCTGCAAAGAACAACACTGAATTGTATTCATGTACTAACTGCCATTGTTTCTGTAGTCCATCCTGATGGCTGGAGAAGCCAATGACAAATTAAAGCTTTGCTATGTGCCTATGTTACCTGTGAGCTTGGACTAGTTTGTGGTCCTAAAGTTTCATGATGGTTTCCCTTGGTTTCCTGTGCTGACCTCCTCCCTTTTCTCATCTTCCTTAATTAGACCAGTAGTGGGCCTGTGTAGCCTTCTATCTGTTCCAATGGTCTAAAGCACTTTCATGTCTGTTGTTTCTGACGTGCAGGCAATCTTCAAGCCGCCAAATGCGATGCGAGGTGGAATTCAGATGTGTTTCCCACAGGTGCTGCAGCATGACCCATTCTTCTCACGGTTTCTATTGGATCGTACTTTTCTGCTGTAATTTTGATTTTTCTGCGGAGTACAAATTTATGTATAAGCTGACTGATGTGAGGGTCGTGCTGTAAAATTTTCTTGGGGCTTCTGATGATAACTGTAAAATTCCATGCAGCTTGGGTACTCTGGGACATTGGAGCGACATGGATTTGCAAGAAACAGGATATGGGCCCTGGATGATGAGCATCCACCACTGAATCATAATGATAACGGCAGCAAAGTTTCTGTTGACCTTATACTAAAGCCATCTGAAGATGACCTCAAGTGCTGGCCACATTGGTATGCATTTCTGCAGTTATTTGCGTTTGTATTCCTATGACCGTGCCTACTTTATGTTACAACTAAATGAGGGCTAGATGTCAAATCTCTGTTAAATATTGTGTCATTGAGGTGTGTCGTCCAATGACTGCAGTTGGGTATTTCTGATGTTACTTTCTGTAAGCAAAATTTTGACAGTATTTTCCTGACATTGGAAATTGAATTCTTAAAATAAAGATGTGGGAAATTAACAAGGATGCATTTTTATGGCATTGCTTGTAAGGAGGGTCTTGGATTTGGATATGTGTAATCACTACTACTTCATCTTATAGCATTTCAGTTTTTTTACTAGAAAAGGAAATCTGAACAAGGCTGTCGTTGCTTAGCATGATGATCCTTTACTGTTGATCAGTATTTACATGCTTATCATTTTTTATGGACCCAGACGCCTTCTCATGCTTTTAGTCACAAAACGCAGAATCGGTAAAGTTTATTCATATCAATGTCCTCATGTATGATTATAATTTGGTTGCAGTTTTGAGTTCCGTCTAAGGGTCTCTCTTTCAAAGGATGGGGACTTGTCGTTAATATCACGCATCAGGAATGTCAATGGCAAGCCATTCAGTTTCTCATTTGCTTATCACACATATCTTTCTGTTTCTGACATCAGGTCAGGCATTATTTGCCCAACACATCATTATGTATACCTCTTGTTAATTTCCATGAGTGACATGCTACGTCTTGTTAATTCCAGTGAGGTCAGGATTGAAGGTCTGGAGACACTTGATTATCTTGACAACCTTAGCCACAAAGAACGGTTTACGGAACAAGGAGATGCCATAACATTTGAGTCAGAGGTGAAATTTTCCTAGTACTTAATGAATTAAATATTACATACTCCTTCTGTCCCTGAATATAAGGCATGCATGTATTCAAAATGCAAACTTTGTTATCTTTGACTAACAATTAGCCTAATTACATCAAAAGTTTGTACTACAAAACTAGTTACATTGGATTTGTATTTATAAATACTTTCTAATGATCAAACTTTTGTTCCTATAAATTATATATTATAAGAGAAATTATAGGTCAAAATATATTCTTGAAGACCGCACCAAGTCAAATCGTGCCTTATATTCGGGGACGGAGGGAGTATATATTATTTAAATATGCTCAAACTAGCCTGAGACTTGCATTTTTTATTGGTATCGCCATACTTATAACTATATGCTTGCCTCTGTGGATAGTTATGAAGATTTTGGGCTTTAGTTGTTGTTTCTACTAGAATATACTGTCTTAGATGCTCATGATTTCTAATGTCATTGGTGATCCCTTCTCTTTGGTCAATCTCTTTATAGGTCGACCGGGTCTACGTTAGCTCCCCAAATGTAGTAGCGGTTCTTGACCATGAGAAGAAACACTCATTTGTCATAAGAAAGGAAGGACTTCCTGACATTGGTAAGATCTGCTGCCCTTTGCCAAAATGTCACCTACCAGAAAATCAACTATTAACGTTTCTCATTATAACCACTTCATCCCTGTTAGTTGTGTGGAATCCATGGGAAAAGAAATCAAAGACCATGGTAGACTTCGGTGATGAGGAGTACAAGCAGATGATTTGCGTTGATGCAGCCGCTGTGGAGAGAGCAATCACACTGAGACCAGGGGAGGAATGGACTGGGAAGATGGAGCTTTCTGCGATTTTATCCACTAACTGCAGTGATCATCTTGATCACCCTGTCAGCATCTAGTGTTTGTTCACATTTAGTGCTATATATTTGCCTCACAAGGGAGTATGGCCCCCTTTTGTAAATGAGATCAATAGGTAGATCTGTTATCAGAGTGTTTAGGGCCCATTACAAAGTCTGGGGGCTTATTTGAGAATGTTTAGGGCTCATTTGTAGCCCATAGAGACTCTTTTATAAAAATAACTACACCAGGGAAAAGAATGAAAATATCCTCTCCCACCTCCCCTATAAAAGGGTAAGCTCTACAACAGATGGTGAGTTGTGATATTTATGTTAGTCACTATAGCATATCGGTCACTGTAGCAAACCAACCTACAAGACTATAGAAGGGGCAACACCTTTATGGTTGTCTAATATAAGTTGAAGGTTTGTGAACATTGTAGTGCTTGGTCAAGTTAGTAGTAGAGCTTGGTTGTGAAGATCAAGCTATTGTGAATCATAGATGTGGTAGTAGTAAGCTTGTCAAGTTAGTAAGTTTTTGAGTGTGAAGATTAAGTGTTTTGAAGACCAAATGAGTTGTACACTTGTAATGTGAAGCTATAAAGTATTTAGACTCGTATTCTCATATTCTTGTGTGAATTAAGATAGAGGGCAAAGTAAGAATTGAGTGATTATAAAAGAGAAACAAAGTGATTCATGTTTCCAACATATAAGAGTTCAAACTAGTACCTACAGAGCATTTGCGGTATCACATAGACTAATAGAGAGACAATCGTTCTATCTAACAGAGGGTATTCAGGAGAGAAAAGAGACAACAGACTTAGGAGAAGCCAAATGGGACTCAAATAATAAAACTACAAAGATTTGATGGCAACCATCGCAGCACACCGAGAGTGGAACCACACCACTTTGTCATTGTCGCTGGGCATGGACTTTCTCTTTGTCGCTAAGGATGAAAGACTTTGTATATCGTTGACATGTTCAGGTATCATCCAAGAAATACACACCGTTTTTGTAGCTCAGGAAATCTAAAGTCTCAAAGGATCTATAAAAACCTTTCTCCACAAAATTCATGTTTTGCTCCAGAGAAACCTTTTGATACAAAAACCATCCTCCCATCTAGTTGTAGAAGCTCTATCCAACCGCTTGATGTCAAGTCACACCTATCATCCTGTTTCTTGCGTTTCAAAAATCCCAAACCTATTTGTTGAAAAAACTTTCTAGTGTGCATACTCGATCACCATCAATAACTCTCTCTAGACTCCATAAGATAGCAGGCAATAACATCCTTCACGAAATGTTGATGTGCTCGTTCTGTAGGGATGACAAAGAAGACACACGAGTTTTTCTCTTATCGATCACCGTTAGACGCCTCAAACTTACAAAGATGAATTGTTTTTGTTCTCCATCAAAACATGAAATAAATGAGTCCTTATAGTAGATGGCATCATGAACCTCAATATTGATTGTGTTGCCATCAAAATACTAGTATGTGTCATCGGCCATCAGATACCCCTTCTTCCAAAATGTTATCCTTGAGTTGTCAAAACATGACATGCCAAGCACAATGGCCGCACCGAGGTAGTCTTTATCTAGCGCAGAGGAGAGTGTTGCTGCAACAATGTCCACCTAGTAGGAGTAGCTGGTGCCTAGCACCAACGCCTTGCCAGCGAGTTGGTGGCACTCTTTGGTTTGCCGGTTGAAGATGAAGCTCTTGCCTTGCACATGGCATTAGGTGAAAAACAAATAGCGGTTGTCGTACAATCCAATGTACCGCGCAACACGCACCTTATCTAGGACGTGCAAGTAGTGGATTGTTACAGTTGCTCTTGCGTCATTGCAAAGGAGGCATGAGAAGTTGTGTGGCAGAACCGCCCAAAATAACGTATTTACGGAGGTGCTCGTCTTCCACCAGACACTAAGCACCCTGAAAGCAAGCTACAGCAGGCGGTATCCGTCGGGCACACCCCAAGGAAGAGCCCAAAAGATCCATATTTTTCCATAAGGATCCAATAATGATAACGAGTTACAATACTTATCCATTTCATACATCTGAAGTTCTTAAAAATTACATTATTACATTACCAAATGTCAGAGTGCAGAATAATAAACAGCGAGAAAACAACTATCGATAGTACGCAAGGATTCCGTCTGTGCCCACCAGAAGAATCATTCACCCAATGGTACTCCTCATGCATTACCTGCAACAGGGGTAAATAAACCCTGAGTATACAATGTACTCGCAAGACTTATCCGACTAGTGGGGATAATTTCCCGACTCCAAGGGATATGAGAAGCTTTATGGTTTACTAGTTTCCTTTTTGCAGAAAGCAAAACTAATAGTGAGTCCTTATTGATGTTATTATTAATAGCCGCATTAATTTATTATCTAGCCATTCTATGTAAGCACATATTCTACTTTCAAGCAAGAGTTGAGCAATTAGTTCCATTTCATCATCTTTCATCTTTCAGTTCTTACTACGATGCTAAACCGTAGACAAACCATACTGGATCGCCCGGCGATTCACGAATCAATGCCCCCAGCTGGGTACCCCGAAAACACACGCCCTGCTTGTACCCTAGGCACAAGCAGGACTAACCCATCACCCTCCTGTCCTAGGTGTCCAGGTCCCGTCCAAACTTGGACTCCAAGCCCCCACTCCTGAGTCCCAGACTCAGTGCGGTGCAAGGACCTCCACCATCCCCGCCTACTGTTACCACTAACAAGTATGAAGCATGACATATGTTATCATAGCAACTAAGGGCATTCTTACTCTTCATACCGATTTACTCCTTATATAATAAAACAAGTAGTACTTAGCCTATTCTATTTATCAACCTACTCTAGGGTTACAAAAATTACAGTAAGCACATAATAGTATCATGAGTCTACTATAAAAATTTCATGGCTAAAGCTATCACCGGTTGGCCACAAAAATTTCTACAAATATTAAGCTAACTAATATTAAGCTTTCCAATTTGAATTTATGAACCTATCATTGTAACCTCTAACTGTGAACCAACAATACCAACAGGGAGATAGCATTTTTGTGAACCTAACAATTTTTGTTTCCCTATTTTTGATATCTACATAATTTACTATAATTTCTCAAAGTTCAGCTAAAAACTAAATTGAATAAACATTTGTAATTCACTGGAAAATTGTAAAACCGATTTCCCCAGCGCGGCCCGCTACATGCGGCTCGGCCCACTCCCTCGTGCGCACGCACACTGGCGTGGTCCATGCGACGGCGCGTAGACGTGGCCCACGCAATGCGGCCCACGGCTAAACTCGTGCATCAGCTGGCGCTTTTGCTAAAAAAACCCCGTTTTCTTTTCTATTCACGAAGCTCACTCGAACACTATTTAGCTGAGTCGCTGTCTTTGCATCTAGCACCCTTCCCTTAATCCAATTCATGTTTTACGAAGTCCCTAGTCAGAACTAAACAAGGCCGCGACATCTCCGGCCAACGCCGACGAGCACGGACCTCTCCGGCACCAACCAGCACCACCATAACACTCTACTTGCAAAGAGCAACTGATCGATGTATCAAACGCCGCAATTGGTGCAGCACGACAACGTGGCCATGCACCGCGGCGGGGTCTGGCCACGGCAACACCGACGCCGACGCATCTACCTAGCCCAGCGCCTCTACCACTACTCTTTAACCATCTACAGACTGCGGGCAATAATATAAATGTCCTATTTGAATCGCTACTATGCTCAAACGCGTCGGCCACGGTAACAGCACCTACACCACATCCGCCGGAGACAGCCACGCGCTCCGGCGAACCTCAGCTCTAATTGAGTCAACCAACTACCCTAGGAGCAGGAGGACCTCACCAGACACGTGACGGATGGACTGGACGAAGGTGCGAGACTCGGCGAGGTGGTTGGCCACGAGCGTGGGGAGACTCTGGTTCACGGCAAGCGCGGCGACGGCGGCGCCGGTGACTTGCTGCTCCGTCGGTGAAACTGTTACACGGGCGAGGCAACCAAGTCAACACGACGCAACGGCACCACTCAATTAAAACAATAGAGAACCGAGTGACGCCCTGGCCAAGTACCCGCCGCGACGGCCATGGTGGACCACCGTGGGGAAAATGCCCCGCATTACCTCACGGTAAGATGGAAACTCGTCGGGACGACTCCAATCGCTGGATAACTACCAAGACTAGTTGTGCGCACGGTTAATTGGAAGGAGGTGGACTACGCAAGGCCAATTGGTTGGGCGACACAACTTGGTCTTATGACGGCCGGCGAGGGGAAAACTCAAATTGGTGCCCTGACATTGTACTACCACAATAGTGGCGACCCTGGCGCGAAGCTAGACTCCAATGCGACCTCCAAACGTGCGCAATTACAGGGATGGGACATGCTCTGCGGTTAGGCCTTGGGTCGGCTCTGCCGGCGCGTTTCAAGGCGATGGGACGGGGCTTGGCGTGGCGCATTCACTAATTGGGAGAGGACAGCAGCGCGACGGTGATGACTCCACATGCACGTACGAGTTCGGCACTCCTATGTGCTACCGTAGCTCCACGACACACAAGGCGAGGGCGACACGGCACTACGCCATAGGGGCTGGCATGTCCGGGAACGCAGCGGCGTGGCGTGGCACCGTGCACGGTCGTGAAAGCGAAGGCAAGCGGCCGGCCCACGCGCGTGCAGCCGCGAAAGGTCAACAGGAGCAGTGCTCGCGCGGCAGCGGCGGTCAGCGCATAGCGCAATCGTGGACGCAGCGACGCGACGGTGGTGGCGGGCGGAGCAGCCAAGCATGCTGGACCCCGACGTGCGCGTGCGAGTTGCGTGCTAGAGCGTGGTAGCAGGAGGCCGTGGCCAGTAGCGCGGGGCCACGCGCACGGGCTTGCGTGCGCAGGCGTGTTGGGTGGCTGGCGCGGCAATGCCGAGAGCCGGGCAGGGTGACTGCGCCCAGGTGCTGGCATCGTTCAAAATCGTGACTTGCACGCTTTTTAAAGCTGCTTAAAATTTCAACCCGATGGCCCAGTAGCTAAACCAACTATTTTACGTTCGATATGGTGTATCAAGCTACTAAAACCAACCTTAAAACTATGCCACTGCTTAACCCGATCGTTCTCCAAAAATTGCCGAACTTAGCTTCGTCAACGCGTTGTCCGACTTAGGAAATTTCGGCTAAGTCCTAAACGGTTTCGCGTCGAATGCGATTTCCAAGCTACTCGATACACTAGCTAGCGAATCCCGTTCTCGACCGTACGTATTTCACCGTCACCTACGAAGTTCATGCGACAAACTTTACCAAAGCTTTGCATATGCGTTCTATAGCATTTTCGTTCCATAAAAATTCATTGAGAACCCTAAGCGATATAACGCGACATGAAATGTAACATTCGTTTCGTGTTTCCGATGAACGTTTCAATTTCCGTGTATTGCTTTACACCCTATATTACACATATTTACACATAAGTATGATGCTCATGCAGTGTTTTAGCAAAAGTTGTATAGTGTAACACCGAGAGTGTTACAAGTTGGGCCCTCTAGCTTTAGCTTCAGGTCGGAGCATCCATATAAGCTGCAACGGTAGGGGAAACTTCGCAAGAGGTCTGAGCGCTTGGTGCGAGCCGTTGCAGATAGGGGTGCATTGTTAAAAATTTAGTCATTTTAGGCATAATCTAGCAAAATAGCTGTAGTATGACATATATGTGCATGTGTGATCTATTTGCAACAGTAAATGCATACATGATGAACATACTGATCATGATATTTATAGTGTTGAAAACACTAAAACTAGAGTGTACAGAAGTTTACCCCAAGACGGGATCTGTGCAGGAGGCAGTGGCTGTGCCATTCACACTCGACATAGTTTGCTGTGTGAAGTTGTAGACCACAGTTGATGCATGAAGATGTATGTTGTGCAGTCCCTCGAACGGACACCAAGAAGTAGATAAAGTAGTCGTTCACATGATTGCCGCCAAGAACATTGCAGAACAGACCCCCTTGAATAGGAGTAGCATGTAGTTGCACCATGATGCGCTTACCAAAAACCTGATTTGCCTGCACACCCAAGAAGGTGTCGTAAATAGGCGTCGGTTTCGGAAGCCTGCTCTCCAAATGCCTTTGCATGCAGGAACTGAGACGCGAAAACTAGAAAGCAATAGCAATAGAAGAACGGTGGCGCTGGATGTTCACACGTGACACTAAACGCGAGCACCCTTCTTATAGGCATATGAGATGGAAGGCAATGAGTAGAGAATGAACATGGACGCTATGAAAGCGTTCATCGGTAACTAGCAACCGCAGACATAACCACAAGAGTTACTTGTAACCGCAGCCATAACCATGACCGTTACAAGTCCAACCATCAACCACAATCAAACCGCCATTAATCAGCCTTAAGTGACTAAACCAGCCCACCCGGCACCTCTTAGGATTTATTTCATTTTAATTGAATAAAATTAGGTGAATCCTAATAAAATCCAACAATCCCTACCAAATTCGAAGGCACATATAGATTGCTCTCAAATCCACTGTTCTTTGATATAAAAGGGTTTCGATTGGGACTGTTAAGTCGAACATCCACCTAGAACAGATGTTACACCCATTCAGAATTGAACAATGGACTATGACTTAAATTGACAGTTTTGTGTGAAGTGAGTTTCACCTAAGTACTTTTTGTACTAGGTTGCCATAATCATTCTCTCTGGTTGAAGCATATAAGTCACACTTCGAGGCCTTTGAAAGCTCTATGTTTGGTTTTGGTAATTGAGTGGCATCTAGTGGGATAACCTTTGTCTTAAGTGTTCAATAAGCTAGGTGATGTCCACACCAAAGGTTGAGCCAAGATGGCTCTCATGGAGGTGATGATGGAGGCCACAAGTTGATCAAGTGTTCAATATTTGGAAAAGAAGTTTTAGAAAAATAAAATCATATGGTTTGAAGGCAAAGGTATAAGATAGGGTGTTTGTTTTGCTAGTCAAGATGCAATAGAGTGCATGATCGGGTTTAGGATAGATAACTGTACTATTAAGAGGGAAGCTCTCTAAGTTGAGATGGTTATCTAGTGCCACTAGGAGTGATTAACTTCGCATATGCACATTAACCCTTGTGACGTGGCGAGAAAGTGTGAAAATGCCTTTCAAAATGATTGTGAAATGCTAACTCACGTGGACAAGGCTGAGAAACACTTGGTGGAGTTGGCACATTTGAAAAGGTAATGAAGTTTGCTTTGAGGGCTGCTGTCTGTGCCCTAGCAGTGCAACCACCAGGTGCACCGGACACGTCCTGTGCATGGCGAGTTTTGCTAGATTCCTCACGAGCACGAAGATGTGAGATTTCTACTCTTTTAGATAAAACCCAATTTTCGGAGAAGGATTTTGAGATCGACTTTAATTCCGAGGTTTCTAGGCATTGATCTTTTGAGAAAACCTTCACAGCACCTCCAGAAACCCCTCTGCCAAGTTTGGTTTGAATCGGACTTCATTTGAGTCATTTTGAGCTTTTGAATCAAACTTACCGGGTTCCATTCATCCTTACCAGACATGTCCGGTTGGCGTGAGTTTGTTGTTTTGTGTTGAGCTGTTTTCGGACCGGTCCGGTCCAAACGGGACAGGTCCGGTTTGCACCGGAAAGGTCCGATATTAACATCAAGCTCACATGAACTCAATCAATAAAATTAAATCACAACGTCAAGGCCTCGTCACTATTTACTTCTTTAGACAAGAGTTCTTCTTGACTTTGTCATCTAAATTCATCACATCATTCAACATAGGACATATTAGCAACGAAGCATATAATACACATCCATGAATTTAGATCAACACACAAGCACATTGGAAGGACAACCCCTTTAAAGTAAACATGAGCATTTTCTGATGTCTTCATTAGATAAAGGGACATTAATTAGCCTCTGTATCTAGATATGAACATACGATATTTCTTCTCTCTTACTACATCCAACAAGGAGACAACATACATAGTTGAACATACCTACTCATATTTCCATGATGACAATAGAGGGGTCTCAGAATTCTTCCAAGTGTTATTCATTTGATGATGTCGATCACCTTGGACATTACCTGTAGCAGTATAGGACTCAAGTTCAACCTTCTCATCAGGTGTGAGCTTCACAGATAGTGCTCCCAAATTCTGGTTGAAATTCTCAATTTTTGTTGTTCCTGGTATAGGGCAAACATCTTGTCCTTGATGGTGAACCCACGCCAATGCAAGTTGTGAGGGTGTGCAACCCTTTCTTTTTGCCAGTTCACTAATACACTCAAATACCTTGACATTCTTGTCAAGGTTCTCTGGTTGAAATCTAGGCAGGTTCTGCAAAAGAAAGGAATTCACATGAACAAGTGGCAGTTTATTGCAATCATAGTTTTGTAGTCTTTTTTGAGATGAATGAGACCACTATTAGAATAGCACAATCAATCAAATTAAATTATCTTCGAATATTGGTGATACAATCTTACTACTATTAATAGAATATTTCTTTTTGGGCTCGCTACGTTAACCCTCATGAGACGTGCTAGAGAAAAAGGATAAAATTCTAGAAATTTTGAAAATTAAACCAAACATATGACCATTGCTAGAACTTATTCTATAGGTGATTTATACCCTATATCTACTATATTCTTTTACGAATTGAGTGCCACTAACATTTTATATATATGAAAATATATGTACTTTTTACAATATAATTTGTTTTTTGTGCTACGTTTTATTTTTACAGGTTTTGGACCAAACACATCTTTACCTTTCGAATCCAGGGTTCAAGCTCGGGCACCCGATTAAGCCACGTCTCCTGTTAGCCCACAACCATAGGATCTAGCGAAAATACAATGTGGACCGTTCGATCGGGCTCGTAGCGGGTCTCCCATCCATTAAGGGGGTGTTGAAAGGATCTAAACAATGCCTAGAGGGGGGGTGAATAGGCTACGTAATCTTAAAGTCAAATGTCAGTGACAGTCGGAAGTCCCAACAGTTTGGGTCGGAACTTCCGGCAGCCAGAAGTTCCGATGCAAATAGCCGGGAGTTCCGGCACCTACGAGAATAGCACTACAAGTGCTAAAACAAACTTTGAGTGAAAGATATCTTACAACCCCACTCCCTAGCGGTAAGATGAAGTGCTGGGGTTGCTCCTTTGACGCCGAAAGGTCACCACTCTGTAGATCGAGTCCAAACCCTAAGAGGAGAGTTGGGGAGGAAGACAAACCAACAAGAACAAGAAGAGAAGGAGAAGACTCATGTGACACACGCGCCGCCACGTCTCCACAGTGCGCCCCTGCAGCCCTATGCCTCACACCACTAGGCCTTCGTCGCACACCATCGTCCCCTGTGCTCGTAACGCTTGTTGGCACTTACTCACCACCTCCGGTGTGGCGCGCTAGGCCTGGCCTCCTCCTCAGGCGACGGCGTGTAGGCCCTCCGACGGCAAGGTGCGGGGCACGGCCCCTTCTCCAGCGACAACGCACGTGGCCGGGCCCACTCCTCCAGCGGCGGCCCGCAAGGTTAGCCCCGTCGGCAAAGGCGCGTAGCACCGAGGCTCGCGGCGGCAGCCGGGGCTCATGGATCCAAAAGACGGCACGCGCGGATCCAGTGATGAGCGGCTACAACACACAGATCCAGCGAGCAGCGGTGGGGGTGGCATGTCTATGGGCTCGACATGCCTCATGGATGGGCTCGGCAGGCCTCATTGACGGGCTCATTGTTTCTTATTTTTTTAATTTATTAACAGAGACGGACATATGTCTGTAAATCTTAATTTACAGAGGTGGATTGGTCGCCTGCCTCCGAAAATCGTTTTTGCCCGCCTGCGAAAACGGTAACTATAGCAGTGTATGCAAAAGTCATGTTAAGAAAAGGTGTTGTCTTCTAAATTGATTTTTAGTTGTGTAGAAAAAATAATAAATGATAGAGGTTATATATGACATATTATTAGTGATTGTTCCTAAATGTATCTTGAACTCATGATGTTTATGTCTCCTGAATATAAAATAATAGGCATGGCTCTTAAAATTGTATGCCCAAACAAAAGAGACCAGGTTGATGCAGTTATTATTTGCATAATCATGACCCAGAAAATATGGATCCAATAAATAGGTTGGTAAAAATGTGCATCGAGGATTATACGTGTATTATGTCGCACGGCAGTAATATTAGTCCATTTCTGTATTGTGGGAAATTTTTGGTATATATTTTTTTTTTAAAAAATTGTATGAAATTCTTCTATTAGTATTGCTATGTTTATACATAAGAAATTGATTTGTGATGCAATAGAAAATAAGTACATTCCACAGGTGCATGCATCTGAAATTCTGAACTCACCCTGCGTATGTCCTGTTTTGGTAGGGAATCCATCAGTTTTTCCCCGCTGGAGAAGAATCCACTGCCTAGCGGACAGTAAGCCACGATTCCAATTCCAAGTTCCCTGAAATTGTCAAAGCAAGGAGAAAATTTCATAAATACTTTTTAACAAGACATACGGTAATTTTCCTTAGGCCTCGTTCGGTTACGATTCCAATTCCTTCCTAAGTTTCATTTAGCCTGTCAAAACTCGCAAGGAGAAAAATCAAACCGTTTGGAGGAACATCCCAGCTGAACGCTTTCGCGATACTTTTAACAATCGAGGACATGGTCGGAAAATTTTTCCATTAACAAGAGGCCTTAACAAGAAGCATTTAGTTAGGAATGATATCATTCCTACTTGTATAACTAAATACTTGCAGGTGTTAGAAAACTGATTGGAATCGTGTTCCATTCCTACAAGTATTCCAATACTTGGATGGTCATTCCTTTTGTACTGAAGTCAAATGCTGTGTTCCGTTCCCGAAATACCTGCAAGTAGGAATGATATCTTCTTCGGCATCTCTAGACCATAATGACCACTCTAGCTGGACTGCGGTGATAGGATGGACTGCATGAGCTCTTCTGATTGTTGATGCACATGCTTCAGACAACCCGATATACTTTATCTTCCCTTCTTCAACTAACTTCTTGAGTTCACCAATCTGCAACGCCGCCAACGCAGAACGAAGTAAATCAGTAATATATGAAAAGAGAAGTCCAGTGGATGTATATAAGAGAAGAAGAAAACTAAGCAGTAAGCACATGAACAATCAGGCAATGAAAGGATAGAGGTGCCAATGCCACTCAACTCACCGTGACCTCGATGGGCACCCTGGTGTCGATGCGATGCTGGTAGTAGAGGTCGATGCAGTCTACGCCGAGCCGCCTGAGGCTGGCCTCGCATGCCGCGCGCACGTACGCCGGGTCACCGCGGACTTGACGCTTGCCGTCGACGAACGAGACGCCGAACTTGGTGGCCAGGTCCACCCTCTCCCTCGCCACGCCCTGCAGCGCCTTGCCGAGGAGGAGCTCGTTGGTGTGCGGGCCGTACAAGTCGGAGGTGTCGAGGAAGGTGACGCCGGCGGCAATTGCATGGTGCAGGAGCGCGATCATGTCCGGCTCCGGCTTAGGCGGGCCGTAGCTGGCGGACATGCCCATGCAGCCGAGGCCCTGCGCCGAAACCTCCAGCCCCTGCGACCCCAGCTTCATGCGCGGCACCACCGCAGGCACAGTCACAGTCACAGACGACGGAGAAGCAGCCATAGCTAGCTAGCGAGATGAGATGATGCTCTCTCTCTCTAGTCTCCCGCTTGATGAGCTTCGGCGCGCTGTGTACAAGTAACGTAAGTTCAGAGTTTAGCCTTCTGTGAGTGAGTGGTTAAAAGGGCTTAGTCGTCCGTGGATTTGTAGTGTGCTTGTCCGTGGATTTGAATCAAATCAGTGTGCTTACTGCATTGCAATGTTTAGGAAAGGCCCAAACTTAAGATCAAGCTGAACCTGACCCTGACCTGAAATACGTCCGTCAGGCTGCGGAGCTGAACCTGACATGACACCGTCAGGGTACAGCCGAGAGCGGAAGTCAGAGGAGTGAAAGTACAATATAAATGTCACTGTTACGCTCAAAACGTCACTGCTTACGTGAGATTGCGGTAAACCTGTAATACCTTAGGTCATTGGACATTGGTTATTGAATTTATCCAATTTCAGTCAATTATTTTGAACATCTAGAAGCAGTCCAAAAGAGGTCCATCTTATCTATTAGGGTCTTTTTTCAGAATTGAGACATTCTCTATTTCCATTAGCGAAAATGATAGAGAAAATTGTAATTATAGGACATCAAACATCGCGTTTCGTAATTATAGGACTTCAATCATCAACTTCGTTAAAATGACCCTCGAAACGTTGGCTTTTTATTTTAGATGACATTTGACATATGTTTTCACTTTGTTAATCAAAATACATGTATTTTAGACCTCATGTTACCCTTCTGCCCTTATGCTCGGGACGATCGGGAAACTCACGGTGCTGCGGACGCTGTCGCTCCGCCTCAACGCGCTGTCCGGCGGGATCCCGGCCGACATCGGGAGCTGCGCGGAGCTCCGGTACCTGTACCTCCAGGGCAACCGGCTCGATGGGCAGATACCGGAGGGGTTCTTCGGCCTCCGGTTGCTGCAGCGGCTCGACCTCTCGAACTACCGCTTCGCCGGTGGGGTCTCGCCGGACTTCAACAGGCTCCAGAGGCTCGCTAACAACAGCTTGAATGGCACGCTGACCTTGACCTTCCGAAGCTTCAACTCTTCAACATGCCCAGAAACAACCTCACGGGACCTCACGTGTCCAGAAACAACTACGCCAATAAGGCTCTGTTGGGGCGGCTTAAGAGCCTCTGTAGGGGCGGCTGCGCCAGCCGCTCCCCCCAGGGGTTTCTACAAATAGGACCTCTGTAGGGGCGGCTCCCTAACCGCCCTTACAAATACCTCTGTAAGGGCGGCTGGTGTTGGTTACAATGGATTTGTAGGAGCGGCTGTGTGTTCCAAATTACCTCTGAGAGAAGTTATTTGTAGGGGCGGCTGAAGCACCAAAGAGCCCCTCATAGATTGTTATTTGTAGAGGCGGTTCAATCTAGAACCGCCCCTACAGTGCATTTTTCAGTAAAAAAAATAATTAAAAAATTCAAATCTGTCTACAACATATATACATCCACAGTTTATACACATATACATCAACATAATATATAATTCAAATTTAGATCTGAACCACCACATTTATACATATATACATCCACAAGTTCAAATCACAAGTCATAATTCACAAGTCTATCATTACATAGTCCAATCCACAAGTTCAAAATCACAAGTCCATCAAATTGTTATCATCGGCCTAGAGCTAGCCTTTCAAGCTCACGAAGGTGTTGCAGCCTATTCGCTTGCTCGTAAACGATCGTAAATTTCTAGCCGGGAACAGTGTTTTTCTCTCACACCAAACCAGCCAGCAGTAAATAATCCATGATACGATACGGCCTTCCGAATAGGCTTTTGATATGTAGGATTACTACCTAAGTCGACAGTACATTATGGTAATTGCCTTTGACATTCACAATTTGGTCCAATATGAAGTTGCAAATGTTGCCGACTAGCTCTAAGAGTTCGTCATCCTTGTACACGTCCCTTCTATGGTGCTTCTCTTCTCTCCACTACAAGAGAACAAGTTTAGGCCTAGTACTTCATAACATGAGCTATACTACGTACGGGCGAAGTGGTTCAAACTTACCAGACTAGGGTGTCTCCGGTAGGCAGTTGTATTACTCATCATAGCACATACGTAGTATCCACAATGTAGACTCCCAGGCCTCTGTTTGGGGCACTATGTGTTTTGCATATCGAAATGTTAAGTAATGCTATTGAAAGCCATGTAACGAAGTACCAAAGTTAGTTACACTTACCGCACACATAGTTTTGACAACCAACTTTTCCTTCCTTTCTAGATGATGCCTCCCTCCATGGAATGTGACATAGTGCCTGAATGCCCTGTTCGAATGATGTTAGCAGATGCAACTTGTTAGTATCCAAATGTGAAAGTTACTAGTATATATACACATATAAAAGCTAATGAGGATTGTTGATATGTATACGTCTTGACAATCGCTACGAAATCTTTGTATGTCGCCCGTTCAAAATCTGCTGAATCAAAGACCCATGCCATGCTCCACCCGACATCGACGCCTATACAAATCCAGTGGTCGCTGCATGAATTTAGTCAAAGAACAAACACATAAGCTCTTTTGCATCGAACAAAATATATGGAACACAGGTTTAGGTCTAGAGTCGAACTAACCAGAAGTTGTATGGTAGCCATATCATCTGGTTATGCTGGAGGTTTTTAAAAGATTGTGCAATGAATGCCGCAACCTTAATGGATTCGGTCCTTATCTGCTTTTGCCGGATCTGCTCTTTCTCCGCAACCGTCTTCCCAACAGCCAGCTCTTTGCCATCTAGTTTCTAGTTTTTGGGGTAATTAAAAGTTGTTGCTGCTATAGATTGAGGGTCTATATACCCGGAGCTCAGTCTTGGCATTTGTTTCACAATGTGTGTTTGCATTCTACAGATCACGGGGTGGGTTAGTTACAACAAAATCCAAACATTAGATTTATATCATATCTCCTGCAGCACCTGATAAACCAGAGCCTTCACTTGTAGCACAAGATTAGACTCTTTGTCTCTGCCATGTTTCTTGTACATGTCAATGTGCTCTTCGAATCCTTTCTTCCAGGTAGTCAATTTCCCTAGCCCCCTAGTGCGGCCCGTGTGCTCAGGATTTCCCAAGGCAAGGCTAAGCTCATCCCTCTCTCTGGAAGGAGTGAATATGCCCTTCTCCTTGTCTTCAGAATATTTCAGTATCCTTGATACTATCTCTTCGGCCTCCGGATTAGGAAACTTTAGACTACTGCCGGATGAATCCGTACTCCTTCCATATATCCATTGCTTGAGGCGTGGCCTCAACTTCTTCACTTTTGTATTCCCAGAAGCTTCGGCCTCTTCATCCATCTTCCTAAACACCTCTCGCTTGCCCTCGTAGCCACCGGGGCCAAGACGAGGGGGGTGTTTGTTCTGCTTCGCCTGCTCGCCATTACGCTTACTGAGGGCCAACGCTTCGGGTAAAGTCTTCTCGGCCACTAGAGTCTCCCATTGACTCTGAGTTATTTTGCCAAACTCGTGGAATGGAGTTAACCCCTTTTGGATATACTTCGTGTTCAGGTCCGACCTCCAACGTCGGAATGTGTGCCCCATTATCTTGAAAGCATGACTTTTTACCAGTTCACTCTTGCCCTCTGGAAACCTGAAGTTGATCGCCACCTTCGTATCCCAAAGCTCCTTCTTTTTCAACTCAGGTACACTATTCCAATTAGGGATTGCTGGGTTGAGATTATCTCTTACTAGGTAACCGAGCGCATTACGGAATCAGCTTCTATACTTCTCTGGCTTGATGATCTGCCCTTCAGGCCTGACCTCTGTTATCACATACAATGTCTTTTCGTGATATAGGTTTGCCCTTCTGTCCCCTCGCTTCCTCTTTGGTTCGGTACCCGAGGCTGTGGATGTGCCTTGAGGTTGTGGAGCAGAGACCTCATTGTCAGTCTCTGCTGGTCTTGCCTCTATACTCCTTTCCCCTACTCCATCTTGTACGACAAAACATGCTGGACGCCGACGTCGTCTTTTTGGAGGTTTTATAGGGACCTGTATAAACGATAGGTCAATGTGTTAGTAGAGGTAACATTGCTAAAGTGTTAGCCAAATTTTCAAGGTAATAAGGCATCATCCCTACCTCGTTGTCCGGGTTAAAATCCTTGTCCAATTCGTTCTCCGTTGGCCTTCGTCTGGGTTCAGTTGGAGGGAAATCAGGACTTGAATATCCCCCTTCCGTGTCCTCGGCATCACCCTCATCATCATCCTCTTCTTTGCCTTCATCAATCTCTCCTTCTCTTCCTTCTCTTCCCTCTGGTCCCCCTTCCTCCTCACAAAGCTCCTCCTGAGTAAGCATCACTTCTAGATCCTTTTGTAACTCATCATTGAACTGCTCCTGACTAAGCTGGTCCTCGAGTTCTTGCCCTCTTTCGGGTGGCTGTTCATCATGTTCGATGCTTCGGGCTGCACCGTCTGCTGTCCACAACATTTCTAGATTTGTTCTAATATATGCAAGAAATAAAGAGTGCTTTAGATACGCGACAAAGTATAAGAATTGAAAAGGTGAAGAGAGGCCTCAGAAACATGTCAATAATCATTTGATCATGAACTTGGAGCTTCAAGGCATCAGAACATAGAAGAGAGGAGAAGGAAATGTAGAGGTGGCTGGTATGATGCCAAGTTCCTCACAAGTTCTTGTTCATCAAATCATATTCCATATAAGTATGGACTTGGACAAATTCATCATCGACAATGGTCTTAGGAGAGGAGAGGAGAGGAGAGGGGGGTAAAAGAGGAGAGTAGTGACATAGAGTAGATAGAGTAGTAGTTTAGTACTAGCAGTAGTGTAGTAGTATAGACAACCAGATCAGCAAGTAGTAGTAGAGTAGCAGATCAGCTAGTAGTAGTAGTAGTAGTAGTAGTAGTACTAGTAGTAGTAGTAGTATAGTATAGACAACAGAGAGGGAGTAGTAGAGTAGGCAGTAGTAGTATAAGTAGTAGTGTAGTAGTATAGACAGCAGCAGGAGTAGTAGAGTAGGCAGTAGTAGTATAGACAGCAGCAGGAGTAGTAGAGTAGGCAGT